TGGACTTCCTCCTCCTTGAGTCTGCCTCCTCGTCGTCACCCTGTAAGAAAGAAAAAGAACTCAACTTCAATTCTGAATATCAGTCTCGTCCAAGCCTCCCTGCTAATACTCTGCACTTTGCCTTCCAGGAACCCCGAACCCCCTTTTCCTGCACTGTAAATAAAATCACTTAAACTATTATCTGTGTCTGTCATCCCTCTCAGCCTTGTCTGAATTTGAGTACCATTTTGTTAAACCGTAACACATGGTACTGTTAGCAGTGAGCTTCTTTTAGTAGCATGGTACTGTTAGCCACATTGTATTGTTAGGAGCACATTCCCGTTAGCAGCATGATGATAATAACGACCGCGGCAACGGACGATGACTGCCCTTCAGAAGTGGGTCTGACAGACGCAGAACATCCAAGCTTTCCCTCATGGAATCTAACTGTTCCATAGACGATGGTCTGTGCAGGCAGATGCAGGATCTTGGAGATGGCCGCCATGACAGCCTGGACCCTGAGCCCAAAGCTGGAAGAACTGAACCACGATAACAGAATGGCAAGGCAGCAACACAGAAAACTCCAAAAGTGTATCGCGGTCACACCTGTAGCGTGGATGTGCAGTGTAAGCGCAAAAAAAGTTAAAACAAAAACAACAGGAATAAAAAAAAGAGCGAGTCGAAGTGGAGCTCCCGTCAGTGCTACTATACTGCGGCGCACATGACGTCACTGTGTCAATGTTGTCAATTCAGGTCTCTTTTGTAAATGAGTCCTCGAGGCTCAATGGGATGAACCTGTCTAAATAAAGGTTGAATGACTGTGATGCCAATGTGTTTGCATCTTTGGTGACAAACAGGATTTTTAGAAAGAGCAGTCGCACCCTGGCTGTCCTCATAAATAGTCACTGGTGCATATTCTCATCCACAGTCCATTCCATTCAATAAGTGCACAAGATAAAGACTTTTTGTGATGCAGTAGCCAAAGCAATATATTCTGCTACAAATGTGGATAAATCAACTGTGGGATGTCTTTGATGTTTCCAGGAAATAATGGGTCCAGTCTAAGATAGACTAAAACAGTAACCAGTCACACTTCGTCTGTCGTTCTGGTCTCCTGGCCAGTCTGCGTCACAATGTGCCTCAAGTTTAAGATTTACTTCATCTTTCTTGTAACACAATTACTGGCTTACAGTGCTCTTCAGATATCTCAACACATGCTTCACCACTGCCCAATGTTGTTGTTTTGGTTCAGACAAGTGTGACAACTTGCTGAAAATAAAACTCAAGTCTGGTCTAGTACTTTTCATTTCAGAGATCAAACTGGCAACCACTTCACAATATCTTTTAGGTATTTGTTAGGGCATGTAAACATG